GATGCCTTGCAAGAGGAATTTTTATGAACAAATTTAAATTTTGTGGATTTTTTTGGTTTGTTATATTTTCCATAGGAATCCTAAATACTGGCTTTATGCTTTTTAATTAAAGTTCTTTGCTTAAAGTTACCAAAAACTAAATCCGATTACTTAAAAGTTCTTTTTTGCTAGAAACTTGTAAGCAGTTTTCCTTATTTTTCTCAGTGAACACATAGACATTGACACCGGAAACCATGCACCGGCATTAATGCGAAAAGCAAAAATGCAAAATGCTTAGACGTGCCCAGTTCCAACAACCTCTGGCCCACAAAAGCTTCAATGGGTGCAATGATGAGCTCATGACCAACGTTGCGTATGAGTAATGTTTGGTTTGTTTATTTCTTTTTCTCGTTGTATTTTGTGCTGTAACTTGAAAACTTTCCACTGAGGTACAAGCCATACTTAATGTGTAATTAATTACACGTTGGTTTGGTTGGTTTTTCCGATTGTTAAGTTATTTTTAAATTTATAGTTTAATGTTTTTCAGTGTATCGTTATAGCAAAAAATAAATAGAAAACATAAAAATGTTGTCCTTCGTTAAACTTGTTTATACTTTACTCCTACTGATCTGTCGTGTTTTGAAATTGGCTGCTGACAGCACTTGGCTGTTGCTCTCCATCTGTCTTTCCTGGCTGTGAGTGTATGGGTAAGTGTGTATACACACACGCACACACCCACACACTGTACACACTGGACTAGAAAGTAGTTTTCAATTAGCTCAGTCCTGATAGCAAAACCCCATGGAGCTGCACTGAGTGCTTTGTTTTCCAAGTTACTTCCTCAGGGTTTTTCTGTGTTTCGGAAGTCATTTGGATGAAGCCATCAAAATGGAATCTTTACTTTAGAGCCATGTAAAGGCAATTAAAGAGTTAATAAAGATATTTAAAGTTAAAAATTAGATTTCCATAAGGAAACCTAAGATAGTGTAAGGTACATTTTTAAGAAGTTAACTTAAAGTTTTCATAAAACAAAGCAACAACCTTTAAGTTCATAAAATTGCTTTAGAGCATTCACCCTTCGTTTTCTTCGCCAATCCTATGACTTCCAGCTTAATGTGGCTGGCCAACTTAGGTTTCTGTTGGCCAAAACAACTGCAAAAACAGAATCATCTGCCAATCCAAACCGGTTGAGTAGGCAGTAGGTGAAGATAGAAAAAGTAGAGACTGCGGACTGCGGACTGCGGACTGCGGCACATTTGTTTTCATCGGCAATTGGCAAGTGAAAGCTTTTAGCGCGAATTGTGCACGGCAATCACTTCAAATGGAGAAGAAGCCAAAAGCAGCTTTCCCGAAACAGCTTCCTTCTTTTTTTTTTTAACTGCCCATCCATCTCTATCGCTAGTTGCTGCTAAATTTGCTGCAGCTTTGGTGGACTTAAATAATGGGTAGTTTGGTTTTTAAAGAGGGCTTGAAACAGCTTTAGCTTTTTTTATATAAAGATACATTTTCAAGATAAGCTATGCTTATATCCTAAGTAAGAATCTATCCTACCCTAAAAGAAAAGATTTAAGAACTTAAAACGGCATTCCTCGATTTACTGACAGCCTCTATAACCTTCCAAGAGAGCATTTGCAGTTCACCATTGCAATCCTTTCCATGTATCCTTTCTGTATCCTTTTGGCCACCTGTTTCCACTGGTCGAATAATTTCCCGCAAAATGCTAAGCAGATTACATTTAATGCCTCGAGCGTAACGACTGCGGCAGTTAAATTTTGTGTTCGACGTTGGATCCTTGTGTAATGCAGTAGTAAATTTTTTAATGGTCTTTATGCCCTGATTCCGTGCATTAAATCAAATTCCGGCTTACCCAATCAAGGCATTCAGTTCTTTGCCTCTTTTTATACAGTTTTTTTTCTTTTTTTTGTATATAGGGTTCCAGTGGTGCTGTAATTATTTGAGCATTGACTCCAATTGACTTTAGGTCACCAGGGGGTCGAAGTCCTCGCAGCGCTTTGATTAATAAAGCCACGGACCCATCGTCGAATTTGTTTTATTCATAAATTTATAACCATCGGCCGTAACGAATGGCAGCCGTTTGGCGAATGTTTTATTGCGTACATAAATTGCAATTAGTCCCAGCTCCCGTTGGGATAAATGTGAGCACACGCATGTCGTCGCCAGGGAACCACTGCCACTGTTCGAATGACGAACTGCCCGGCTGGGCTAACATCGACCCATCGGCCATCCAGCCACCACGGTGGGTTAACCAAACATCAATTGACTTATTAATGTTTGTCCTGCCTGCCGGGAAAACCAGAAGGAATCAAGAAGAAGAAAAGAAAAACTGCCGCCAAGACATGGTCGCCTCAATTGGATTCATGTGGCGCCCTTTGGGACATTTCGCTGGTCTGCCCACTGCCGCAGTCACGTCTGCATTTAATGTGAAATTATGACTTTAATGGCCAGTCAAATATATACTAGAAACAAAGAAAAAATATTCTGTATACTTTTAATAATATTTTTTGCATTTTAAGGGGTCACTTTAATTGGGGACAAAAGGTCAACGAACTTGGGTAAAGGAAATGTGAAATTAAAAATCATAACTTGGTTATTAGTCTCAATTTTCGTAATTAGCAAGGGTACTGAGAAATATTTTTAAAATTTTACGATAATCCTAAAACAATATTTTTGAAAAAATCAATTTTTCAACGACACTCATCTTCACTTCAGAAGGTCAAGAGTCAGCTGACACTCGCAGCTCTGGAAATCTCTTAAAAAACGCTGGGTAACTCACCAAAGTCCGGCAAATGTTGAATGCCAATTTGATTGATTGACTTTGTCCTTGCAAATGTATGCTGCCACTCATGTGTGCTTCAGCTGGCTGGAAAATAAAAAATGTAACCTGCTTTTTAACTCCACGGATCCTCGCCTTTTACATTCGTTATCTGGCCGCGTGTTTGGGCTGCGGCTTCCTTTCATGCCAAAGCTGCTGTAGCTGCTGTAGGCAAACGCAATGTAAAAACATTTAAGGTTTCAATTAAGTGAAATCCCAAACGGCCAAAAAAATAAATGGGCGAAAAAAAGGCAAGGGCTCCGAATGACTAAAGATGCCCCGGGAATGAGGCTGGAATTTTTTCAAGCAATCAATTTGGCTTTCCAGACCAAAGAAAGGGAAAAACCAAATATATATATTCCAGTTTCTTACAAATATATATATAGCTGGGGATAGCTGGTCCTGGGCCAAGTGTTTTTGGCTTTAAGCTGGACCTTCTTTGACAAACGGTTTGTTGCAAGAGACCTCAAAAAAAAAGTGAAGGGCCCAACCCTTCCATCAAATGTCAAAGTTTAGACTGTTACAGTCACTTGAGTTATATTGAGATTTATTATTTCTCAGAAGAGAAAGAAAGGCTAAAAAGAAAAGTGCCAGTACCTATCATTAATTATGATCGACCGGCAGTCAGGCATTTTATTTGTTTTTCCCCAAATGTTACACGGCTGCTGGCCTGCAATTTATGCGCCCAGCCTGCATTTCAATTTCACTTGCAGTTTTTCATGAACTGCCCAGAAAGTCGAAATCCACTGGCAAAAAATGACTTTTGGCCATTGGCCAAGAGCAGAGTTGTTCTTGTGGGTGTTCCCACATCCCAGGGTGACTCTCCTTTCTGTTTGCACTGACTTAAGAAATCAACAACTTACACTTTCGTTCTGGGCGGAGCAGCCTCTGAACCAGTTGTTTTGACACTTTTGGGCCAGGCCAAAAGTTTCTCCTGCCTGAGCCTGAAATGGGGCTTTTTGATCAGGTGAAAGGTATTCCCAAAACGGAAAACTCCTAGAAGGGATATTCTTAATATTTAATGTTAGTTAAATTTTATTTTTGATATTTTTCCATATAATTTGCCGCTTTGTGTGTGTTTTTCTGGGCCTGATTAAAGATCTGGCGAACTTTTTGTCAACCAGCTGACTTTCTGCAGCTTTTGTCGGGGGCCCTGTTAGCAGGGCAAACTGTTCGTTTTTTGGCATTTTATCTGGGCGTCGATGCTTTGGCTTAACCCAGTTGCCAGGCAGTTTCGCAAGTTCCCATTTCGCCGGCAATTTTATAATCAGCATTCTCGAAATAAGGAAAACTTTGCTATGTAAATTAAATGCCGAAACCCGCAACTTTTTGCTGACATTTCTCGCCGCTCGTGCCTCTTGTATGGCTAACCCAGAAAAAAAAAAACTCTGAGCCAAATAAATACAAGACTGGCGAAACAAAAAATGTCCTTTATATATAAACGTAATATGTACACTTCTCTTTTTTTTATTGTCGCCGGGGAAAAGGCAATGGGAAATAAATGTGGTTTAAACATGACAAGTAGCCGTGGGCTGCCAGCTCGTTATCACCAAATATTTTTGCACACGAAATGAGTGAATAAATAAGCCAGGCCAAAACGACAAAAAAAAAAAAAATGAACTGGTAGAACACGGCAAATAGCTTCTCTGCAAAGTTGACGATGGATCTGAGGCTATATAGCTATATAGCCGCAACCAAGTCGGCTTGGGTCACCGTTTATGGTCGTCACTTTTTTGTCCGCTTGTTTGACAAATAAAACGTGAAATGTCAGACTGGCTGACTGGCTGACTGGTGGTCCGAAAGCCAAACAAAAAAAGAGTAACCAATAAAAGCTTAATTAACTGTTTATGGCCATGGCATGTTAACAGGGACCGCACCGAAAAGACGTGCCGAATTTTCGTCCTTAGCCATTAATCTGAAGTGGACCGGGGACCGGGAACTGGGAACAGGGAACCCACAGGGGCACCGACCGTAAAAAGCTCTGTGTACCTCTTAAGTGGGGAATACGAAGGCCATTCAATCAGTTTAATGAACAAACAACCTCGGTAACTATTAAATACAAGTTGGGAGTACACAAAGTTATGGTTGATTTGCATAACAAAAGGTCACTTCATTTTTTCTACTCAATTACAAAAGTAATCCAAGACAAAAAATAGAAATGGTAATACATTTTAGGAAATTTTAAGGAACATTCGACCTTTTTGTCATTCTAGTTTGGAACCTTCATTCAGAAATCGTATGGTAACAAAAAGTATTCCGTTTTATACATCTTTTGGTAGATCGCTTTTGTACTTTCATAAATTTGGAAAAGTTGAATAATTGCAACTGCGGATTATGTCAGAAACATTCATCAGCAGGGAGAAGTTCGAAATCCCAGCAGCAATATCGAACGAAAGTCTCACTTGGCTTCAAAACGTTCCCGAAATTGAGCAGGAAAAACGGATGGAGGTTGAGGTTTCTGAGGAAAGGGACAGCACGTTGGAAATTCAAGAGTTAACTGGGGAAAACATCGAGATTTCAGAGGTGTCGGAGGAAACTGAGAAAGTTTCAGAGGAGGAATTTAATCAGGACATTGAAGTACCAGAAAAGAACAAAGACTCCCTAAAGAATACCAGCATTTTAGATGATGATGATTATCTGATTTCTGGATCCTCCTTCACGTCCTGTTGTTCCTTCAAATATATTCGACACTCGATCCTTTCTAGAAAGGAACGTGACGCCTCCACATTCAGCTTGGATAGTGGCATTGATATCGAATCCTTAGAGAATCCCTGTCAGAATCGGGTTCGGTATCATTCTCAAGATCAGTTAGAAGAGAAGCCCTCTTGTGGAGAAGATACAGACGATAATAGCTCTACGGTTAAGATCGTAATGGAGAAAAGGACACTTCACTTCACCCCCGAGAATAGCGTTTGCGACTACGAAATTAGTATAGACGAAGTTTACGAACGATTCTCGACTTGGTTTAGTCGTGCCGAAATAGATTTATCATTTTCCAGTTTTATGCAGGTGGATGAGGACCTCGATGGTTATATATGTCTGGCAGAACTGAAGAGATTCCTGGAGAAAATCGACATACCACAAACCCATTTGGCTGCTAAAAATCTTATGACCCATGTGGTGGATGATCACGAGGGACGGCTCAACTTTTGCCAGGCTCTAATCATACATGCGACTCTATTGAACCGCCTGGAACTACGAAAGTGGAGACTACAAAATCAGGAAAGGGAACGTTTGGCTAAAAGTGATGCTGTGGACGTGTCTCAGGTGGGTGTTAGTGGTGCAAAGCAGTTTTTCGAAGCCAAGATAGCCATGCAAACGGATTGCTTTGCCCTGACTTCGGATCCGCCATTGGTCAAAGTTCAAGTCAACAATGCTCCAACTTGTCAAATCCCTGTCTCCAAGAGGGGGCAATACGGAACTGCTGCTGCCTTATTCAAACAACTCGAAAGCGAAAAATAATCAATACTCTGGGACTTAGAAGCCTTCAATTCGAACTCTTCCATCCTGACTCAAGAGTGTTGTGTCCAAAATTTCAAGTTATAAATTTCACGTTTTATCAGAGACTGACCTTGTATCTACCCTATAACTTCCCATAAATCATTTGCCAATAAAAAGCGATCCAGGAACGCAAATGCTTCTTAAGTGACCAATCAAAGGTAATTGCCGGGCTGTAGGAACCATACCTCCAGTCCTCTGATACTCCAACTTCTTTGCGGGGCGGACTACTTTTCAATTTTATTTTCCTTTTGTTATATCCTCGGCAGTAGTGATGAGCGTTCAGTTTTTTTCTGGCTTTACTTTAGTGTTAAATTCTGAGAAAAAACGAAAACAAATGGAAATTTGTATCTTTTCAATCTTTTATTGGTTTTTTAAAAAGCTTATCCTATCCGTTTAGTTTCCTTAGTTCCTCTCACCTTTAGGCATATTTCTATTTCATGAGAACCCGAAATAAAAAATCGCCAACACTGGCTGTTGAAAATTGGCTGGGGCAACGACTCCCTGGAGAGCGAAATGTGCGCCACACACGCCAAGTGGCAAGTTGGGCGACTTTGCCGGAAGTTGCCCGGCGGCCTCCAGTCTTCGGGGCATAAAAATATTTTCGTGCAAATAATTTGCGCTCTTAACTGCGCCCGGGTATTTCGATATGTATTTGCATACCCTCTGGCCCAACGCCAATCCAAACTGCTGGCTGAACGTTCATTTGCACAGGATATCAAAAAGTTGGCCTCGCCAGAAAACACGCCACACAATTATGCTGCCATTAGGTGGGCTGTGTGCTAATATTTATAACTGATTTGGATTTGGATTTGGGGGTAGAAGCGAGAAGCCAGTTACTGGCCACCACACGCCATATACAAATTAAAACGAAAGCGTCGGACGCTGCGTATACGCAATATCGCGGAAAATAGTGCAATAAAAATCTAACTAAAGTCATGCGAATATAATGAGCATAAGCCGAAAGGAGACGGAAAGCATGGGGGAAATAGTTTTCAAATTAAAATAAATGCCGCAGCTGAAACAACTTTCATGTGGCCACAGCGCGGGTGGGTAGTTAGGGAGGGGGCTAGGAAAATTGGGAAATGGCAGGACTTTTTCGTCTGCTGCTCTACTCCCACTCTCTGCACAGGCGAAATGCCATGAAAGTAAATTCACTAGAAAATTAATTATGAACGACGATGGCGATGGCAGCGATGATGGTGACGTCGTAAGTGAAACCAATGCAGCGTTTAGCGGAAAGGCAGGGGTAGCTGTAGGAGTCGAAGGGCGGCGGCAGGGGCGTGGTTCTAGGCGAAGGCATGACCAGCCATACCTTTTAATGGCATTGCCATCAATTTCGCTCAATTGCGCGCACAATCACATCTAATCACGTTGGAACGATCCCCGAAAAAACTAGTTTAGGGGTAAAGGAAAGAGATTTGGGATGGCTAAACAATCTGATACCTCTTGTAGATAGTTTTTTTTTTAATATATAATAAAAGTTTATTATAATTTTATATATTTCTGATCACTATTTTTACCTGCAGCTTTCTTAATTTTTTTCTTAATACTTACCTTTCTGTCAGCCTGGCATACCTCTCTTAACTAAGGATGCACTACAACAAAGAGGACAACTTCTGGATGCCCTGACAAAATGTTTATGGTTATTGCTTTATGGCTGCCTGCGTAAGTGTGCGTGTGTGTGTGTGCGTGAGGCTCTCCATATGTGAGAGTGTGTGTGTGGAGAATGTGAAAAGGGAAAAGGGTCACGTGTCAGATGTCATTGACATGGTTTGCCTTGCCTTTAAGCGTTCGCAAACAAACCAACACAAACACGGGCAGATGAGAGGCTGGGCGCCGAAAAGTATGCCACGGTTTTTGCCTCATTTGCGCTTAACTTTTTTTCTTGCCCCGAGAAAACCTCCGTCCATAAATCCACCCAAGTGGGTGAGCTAGTCTCTCCCTCTCTCTCCCACCACCACTCACTCACTGCCAATTGCAATTAGTTGATGTAATAATTTCTGGCAGCTGCGTAGGATCTTCGTCCTCCGTTCATAATTGACAGGAGCCGAGAGATACACAGCCAAGTTTTTTAGGGATAGGGAAGCGAACGAAGGGGAATATGAATATGGAGGCACATCTCAGACCTGTCGGCATGGCTTAAATTCAATGTCACCCGCGACAGAAAGTCTCAGCCGGTGTCCAGGGCAGACAAAAAAATGGAAATCATAAAATAAATTCAATTAGCTAGTTAAGCTAGGAAGAAAAAACTTTAATAGAGTTAAAAAATATTTACAATATTTTTTTAAATTATTGCCAAACCCATCTCTTTGGGCGTAATGAATAACCAACTCTGCCATTGAAAGCACCTAAAACTATAAATTTCCCCACTCCCTTTCCTTAACCCTTTTCACTAGCCTGTCTTTGTGGGAAAATCCCATGGGAACTGAATTAGAAACCATTTTTATATCATATTCCCCGAAGTGCGTGAGTTATGAAAGAAGCTTAAGTTGAGGTCAACGTTCAGGTCAAGTAAAAAGCGGTAAATTAGGAATAGGTTTTCAAGCATGTTTCTGGGTAATTAGAAACTTAAAATCATTTTATTGTTAAGTTAAATGAAAGTAAAAAACATTTACCTAACTTTTAGTTATAAAATTTTCTAAAGAATTCTTTTAAATTCGTATATGCAATACTAAAAGTTGCATTTTCCAAAATAAAAAAAAACCAATCAAATCGATAAAGAAGAATTGCAAATGTATCAAAATGAAAATAAAAAACAATTGAAAATAAACAAATTGGTGTTTTGTGGCTATGGCAAGAGATTGAGCTGCCAGCAGCGAAATTTCCGCAAGAAGAATGTTCAATGAAAATTGGGGTCGGAATATTGGGGGAGTTGAGAGAGAGTCCCGAAGCTGCAACTATGCTTTTGAGTACAAAATGGAAACAACTAGTTGCAGAATAACAGCTGCTGCAATGGAAAACATGAAATTGTTGCTCGAATAGTTTAGGCAAAAATATGCCAAAAATTGCTTTTCACTCGTTGGGGGGCTAGAAAAATGGCAGATCAATTTAAGTGAAGTTGCAATGAAAATGCATGGCTTGAATTTAATTTTCTGTTGATTATTACAAGTTTTAAGATAGCTTAGCTATTAGGAAAACCAATTTATGTAAAATATTTTAAAAATAAATGAAATTAAAATGCAAACTATTCTTAAATCGGAATTTTACCTTTGTTAAGGCAGAGTTTTTAAACAATATTTTCATTAGCGTACAGGCCAAAAGCAATAGACTGTAGACAGAATGCTAAAAGTGAGAAAAGAATGTATATATAAGAAAATGGAAGAGCAGTAAAAACCAATCGTCTACCATTCCCCAGCAGACCAGATCCTGTGCAAAGTTTTCCCCCAGCCGCTCTTTACATTTGCCTAGTTGATGTTTTTCTTAACTTTATGGCAAGAGTATTTTTGTTAGCTCGAAGCTCGGGGCTTGGAGCTCCGGCAAACTGCCACAAGAAACCGACTGAGGCAGCAGGAGCAGCTTTTCGATTCAATTTCCGTGTTCACAATGCGCTTGTTGCTATTTTGCATACTCAGGAAGTATAAGGGGCTCGGGATCGGGTGTATATATATGTTGTGTATATGCACGGTATATCGAAAACATTGGCAGCTTCTCGAGTAGGCGTGACTTAGTTCCTTGTTCTCCGCTAAAAGTTTTCTTTGCCTGTGTTTGCCCTAAGTAATTCGCGCACATTGCAAGATTTATGCACTCGAAACAGGCAAAAACTTTAGCTGCATTTGCAAATTCTTATTGCCGTTGAAATGCAAAAGGGAATTAAGTGGGGTTTGGCCTTCAGTTTGCTGAGTAATATCCGCGTATCAAAGTTTCTTAAACTGATTTTGCAGGGCAACGAATTTGATTGGGATTTATTAGCTATTTCTAAGAGATACTTCTGGATAAGATTTTAGGACGAAAGAGGTATAAGCAATCGGAAAAAAGATGATTTTCTACTCTTTTCCAATCCTCTGTTTCTTTTTTTAAGCCAGAATATGCCTTAAAACCATCTTACCTTGAGTAAAGAGTACTCCTTAGTGCTCCAACATCCTTGGATCCGCTTTGGTGCCCCACAAGAAAACAAAAACTTCCGGCTGCATATCAATAACGAAATAAACTTGTTACATGCCAAAGCTGCCGGGTAAGAAAGTGTGCTGAGAACTTGCAAAAGATTGAAATGCATCGCTTAGGCGAACTTTAACCCTCGAAATGCCAGCATCATATACAGGGCAAGATGATAAAGGATCAGGTTGTTCAGCAGAGCAAGCAGGCAACATAAATGAAATTAAGTGTAAAATTATCAAAGTTACACAGCCAGCTTTCAAATGTCATGATAAAACATACAAGAAAAAAATCAGAAAGTCAGAAAATATTCAGGGAGTTTAAGGAATAAAGAAAATCTCCACCATTCCACCAATCTATGCAACATTCATTTTTCTTTTGTCATACATAGAACCCAACCGTGCTTGATGTTGAAAAATTGAAAAAACGAAAGTCAACGTTGGGACAGGACCGAGAGAGAGCGAGGAAAAAAAACGTAAGAATAGGGAAATGTGCGGAGTAGAAGGAAAATCTTTGCCTGACGCGCTTAACCCGTTAGCCTCTCTTCCCTCTTCCCTCTTTTTACCTCCATTCTGGCTGATGATACCGAAAGGCGAGTTCCATAATGATAATAATTTTGTGCATGATTTATGAATGAACAAGTTTTATGGCCCCGAAAAGAAGCAGGTCATAAACCCAGTGCAAACGTTAATTTCCAAGAAATGTGGGCTGAAAGGCAGCTGACCACCTCGAGCTCTTTCTTCAAGACTGGCCTCCTGCCCCATTGCACTCTAATATTTATTTCGACTTTGGAGCCCAGTAAATTTGCATCTTTCAGCGTTCAAATTTCGAGTTGAGACCAGGTGAAAGAGCGAGTGTTCTAGTGCTGGGAACTCTTTTTGGAAATCATTTCGCTGTGAAATTGTGTCCGCACAGGGCCAGGCTCAACGAAAGAGAGAGTGAGCACGTGAGCTCATTGAAAATGCGCGCTAGTAAAAGTTTCCCATGCCAGGAATAAGCCTGGGAAATGGCAAGGAGAGAGAGGGAGCCCTAGAAA